ACCTGAACAATTGACCTTAACCAGGGAAATGTCTTTTTCCACGACTCATCAAAACCAGCCTCACGCCGTTTCTGTGTTTCTACACGCTTCCGTTTCTGTGCTGTGCTAGCGGTGACTGTACGTTTTAGCCGGGCGGCATCACCTTTTTTCCTTTACATGTTTTGTCATATAGCATTTCGGTGTTTGCAACTTGAGTGACAATTTGTTCCCCATTGACAGCGTCTGTACTTCACACGTGTTTAACAATGGGACTGTTTAATTTGTCCCGGCAAGTTCAAACCGCCGTGGCGTAGACGGTGATAATTTATGCAGTGCTACGTGTGAGCGGGTCAAATGGACGTAAACAATGCATCCTATTAGCATGGCGGTGAAGTTGTAAGCATGGCGGTCCGAGCCCAAGCGTGGCGGCCGGGTCGCCAAGCATGGCGGTGCCGCCATGCTTTGTTCTATGTGGGGAGAACACTGAGTTTGATGGTATTGTCTACTGAGAATGTGATGGGAAAAGTGTTTGAAAAATCCCAAATTACTATGGTAACCCTGCTTTCACCTAGTAATTGAATGCTATTATTTATCCTGCCACAGTTATGGTGCAACATGTTTCAAATCTTTTAAAAAAAATGTTAAATTTTGGAGCTAATTTCATGTTGCAAAAATGTCTTGGTCCAAATGTGGGTGTTTCATACTATCCAATAAAAAACTGTTACGAGTGCTGACAAATTGTTATGTTATATACCAATAAAGTTTGCAATTTTATATACTGACATTTTCTTGGCGTACATATACTTTTTTTATTTTCTTATAACTGAGCAGAACTGGAAAAAGAAAATGTTGGTATCTTTACCTAATTCAATAACAGTCTGTATTAAATTAATGTACAGTAAAACCATTTATTTTCACTGGCATTAAATTTTAATATTTTGTTGTTGCTTTGGGCAATTTCACTGGGTTTTTAGTTCACAGGGAAAGATCAAGTGCTTTTGTTATTATAAATGTTCATGTGAATTTAATTTAGCGAATTATACCGATCGGTGATAATAGCTAAACTAAAAACCAGTGAATAACTAATGCATTTACAGTATTTATGGTGGTGTTCCCATGATGCATCTTAGTTACAAAAGCACAACTTCCTGTTCATTTGCATATACTTGAGTTACATGTACTTTAAAATACTTTATTTTAGGTGGAATTAATTTTCGCTGAAAAGACTTTTGGTTGTTTGTACAGAATTTATTTTCACTGATTTTTGATGAGTTGAATGTAAAATATAGGAAAAAAGGTATATTCGCTGGATTTTATTTTCACTGAATCATTCCTTCAGTGAAAATTAATTCCAAGCGAAAATAAAGTATTTTACAGTATATGTATTTGGCAAATTATATTTTCTTTCCAGCCTGACGACTTTGCTGGTGATTCTTCATCCGATGAGGAGAGTGATGAAGATTCAGATAGTGATGATGAGGATGGTAGTGATGGTGATGATGATGATTTACTTCCAGTTGAGCGAGCTGCGAAAAAACTGGACAAAAAGTTGAAGAGAGATAAGTAGGTTATTAATCCTTATCTTGTTTTTTACCCAAACTGCTTTCAACAAATTGATAGATCATGATTTGTGATGAAATCAAGTTTCAGTTTTATGCGAAAAATAATTACACCTTTTCAAATCTGCCAAATTGTAAATCTTATATCACTACTTCCCTAGACCCTATGAATCTCCTCAGCAGTGCAATAGTATATTCTGGGCATTTGCATTCATATTTGGGAGAATGATGTCATTTTTGAGGGAACGTAAAGCTGTCAGTCACATGTACTGTTTCTATTCTCAGTGCTCAAAAGTGTGGACGCTCAATTCATTGTGAAGTGTACCCACAAAATGACAGGAAACTAGCCTGCTTAACTTTTTCACCACCAGTCCCTCTTCATCAAAAATCCTCAAAATAGTCCCGTTTATAGTCTGCACTTTACTTCAGAAGATTGGGACAAGAGTAGCCACATTTTTTTGAATAAAAACTGAAAATTGATTTAGATTTTGTCAGTTGGTTCCAAAATTAGGGTTCATTTCCAGAAATATTGATGAATACAAGTACAAGTGCTGACAAATTTGGGTGAGGAAGTTCGGTAGTGAAAAAGTTAACCCCACACTGGTGATCATTTTCATGGTCATCCTTAAGGCATATCTTTTTAAAATCAGAAGATCAGAACTTCTTTGTCACACAAGATTTATTTTTTCTATTAACAGAAAGTTAGCCGAAGCAGAATTACAAATGAATATTTCACAAAAGGAAACATATGAACTACCAAGTGGACAGGAAATAGAACGAGAAGATATCCTTTTATTACGGGAATACGGTCAAATCTGTTCTCACGTCAAATCCTGTACTGCAAAAATGTTGAATATCTTTTTATTTCCAGTATACAAGTTCCCCAAAAAAACGGTATAAGTGAATCGTTTGGGCCAAATCTGGCATTTGGTTTTCTGTACATTATAACGTCTATGAGTTCTACTGACAAATTGAGGTCCATTTCTATAATGAACTAGCACCCTGCAGGTTTGTTACAAAAGAGCACCGACAGAGAACTGGCCTCAGGAAATGGATATGTTATGGGAAAACATGTCACTGTGCATTAAAGATGCTTCTTTGTAGAAGGATTCTTGTGTGTAGGTAACTGTTTGTTTAAGTAAATTGTAAACAGATTTATTTAAAAATTCAATGTTTTCTGAAATTGAAATCCTACTTAAGACAAGCTCCTGATGAGTGTTTGTTTCCTTGACTGCGCGTACTTATTGAACCGCCTGACCTAACTTTACTCCATCAACGAATTAAAGATGTATTAGAAGTTTTGGGAGATTTTAATAATAGAAGACAAGAAGACAGGTAAGCTTAGAGATTCCATATGCTATATTTGTTACAATCACATTTCCACTTGAGACATGTCAGTGTGAAAGTTTCATTACAAAGTTGTTGCTCAAATCTATATAGATTCACTTCTGCATGGTATTCTTTGTCCATGCCTTCTGAAATGTTATTGCAATTGCAATTGCATAGCACATTTCTGAAGTAACATATTCTTTGAATTCCATCAAGTTATTTATTTTTAGAAAGCTTATTTAAATTATACTGTATTTGCACATCACCCCTAGTCTAGTCTAGTCTTGTAATTAATTACACAGGCATGCTCAGTAGTGCCTAGCAACCAGTCGTTCAGTTATCATTTTGGTTAAAAAAAAAACCAGTTCTTTCCCTCGGATAAACTGTTTCATAATTATTCTTTAAGAACAACATTAAAAAGTAAAATTGATTAGAAGTCACTCATGTCAAAATTAAATTAAGTATTTGCTCGTTGACTCCCGTGTGCGAAGCACAAAAGGGAGTCTTTGCAGTTACCCTGTCTGTATGTATGTATGTCACTTTTTTTGTTCCATCGTTATCTCAAGAACCACTAATCAAATTTTCGTGAAACTTGGTACATAGATGCTCTGGGATGATGCGCAGAGTTGATTATGTTTTGGTAAAAATCTATGAATATTAATTACTTAATTTGCATGATAATTAGCTGATTTTTAGCTGTTCCAAGACTGTTCCTCTGATATCTGAAGAACCACTCATTGGATTTTGATGAAACTTGGCACATGGATGCTCTGAACTAGTACGCAGATTTGATTAGTTTTGGGTAAAAATCTATGAATATTAATTACCTAATTTGAATGATAATTAACTGATTTCAAGCTGTTCCATGACTGTTCCACTGATATTTGAAGAACCACTCATTGGATTTTGATGAAACTTGGCACATGGATGCTCTGAACCAATACGCAGATTTGATTAGTTTTGGGTAAAAATCTATGAATAATAATTACCTAATTTGCATGATAATTAACTGATTTTAAGCTGTTCTATGACTGTTTCACTGATTTTTGAAGAACCACTCATTGGATTTCAATGAAACTTGGCACATGGATGCTCTGAACTAATGCGCAGATTTGATTATTTTTGGGTAAAAATCTGTTAATATTATTAATTACCTAATTTACATAATGATTAATCAATTTTCGGCTTTTCCACTGATATCTCAAGTACTAATCATAACATGTCAATAAAACTTGGGACATAGATGTCATATGACACTGCACAGACCTGATAGTTTTTGGGTAAATATTTGTGCATATTAATCACCTTATTAGCATAATTAGTTAATTTTCAGCTTTTGATATCTCAAGTACTAATCATCACATTTCATTGAGACTTGTTACATAGATATTCTAGGACTGCAGAGACCTGATTAATTTTGGGATAAATAATTGTGCCTATTAATTACCTAATTTGCATAATTAGTTAATTTTTTGCTGTTCTATGGCTGTTGCACTGATGTCTAAAAGCCACTCATTGGATTTCAATGAAACTTTTAAAGAGTACCCATCACATTTCAATGAATCTAGGACTATACACCATATTAGTTTTTGGTAAATATTTATGCTTCTTAATCACCTAATTAATATAATTAATTAATACTGATATCTCAAGTATTGATCATCACATTTGAATAAAACTTGGTACATAAGTGCTCTAGGACAATA